CCCTATATACTAAATACTCGATATGCCAGAGACAGCAAATCTCAAAAAACCCCTTTAAATACATTTATATTAGAATTTTATAAAGTTTAATCTCATGAAGTTGATTTAACTTGAGCGAAATCTTTGAACTGACAACGAGAAAAATATAATTTTTTATCAATCTATAATTTCGTGTAACCTTAACGTATTATTAACATTCCATAGCAAAATCAAATCAAATACTTGACATCTATGACAGTCGCAGATTTTCAAAATGTAACTTAAAATGCAAAATCGAAAATGAGCAGTATCGATAAACATAGTTTTTACAATAACATAAAGGCTAAAGTAAAGTGTTGACAACATGTCTAATCTATATATGTATGTATTTAATGTAAAATTCTCGTGTCATGATGTTCATCGCGATACTCCCCCGAACGTCTTGACGCATTTCTAAGAAAATTTGTGATTCAATATGATTGAAATCGACCGACTATTCATATTAATTACAACTCTAAATTTTCACCCACCTACCACGAAATCCTATATTAATATCTAAACCTTGAACTTCCAAATGCGACAATTCAATTTAAATGAAACCGGTTTGAAATTAGGCTGGCACTATCAATATGTCCCAGAAACAATTATATGTGGCATGCTTTACAGTGGCTAAACCATCGATATAATTTGTGTTAGCTACCCTCTTACTTCACTTACATACCACATATTTCTACATAAAAAATCAGTTAGTTGCACAAATGCCAGTAAGATGAATTTTTCCTTGGAAACATAATGCTATTTGTATTTCCAAGTAAAAACTCATGTCTACTATGCTACTTTACATCAGGTTGTCCGAAGCGGTTATCGAATCTTAAATTTCTGATTAGAAGCACTTATTTCTAACCACTAATATACGAGGGAGTCCTAGAGTACAAATATTCAAATCATTTAACCGATTATTTACGGACTGACAATACAGGTAAAATCTACGGAATTTAAAAATAAAAAAGTTCTCCACCTGCGCAAGTCCCAGGCTTATTACCATGTACGAAATAATAATAACAAAACAATCAAACTCGTATTGAAAGCGTCTTGCGCGACAATGAATGATATTGAACAATAATGTCTCGTACAGACCGAATACAAGGATAAATTAAAACTCGTTGCACATGGAAAAATACAAATGATGATACGATGTTATTATGATGAAGACATGTTACGAGGCGATACCGCACGAGACGGCTGACAGCACAAGGGCAAAAACGATAAACGGATAAACCAAAACGGTTTCTTTTTAAAAAATTTATATTTTATTTTTAATATTTGAAGCATGAATTGGGCTCGAAAGTTATATTTGTGATAAATTCAACATTTTTCAAATTTACCGTTTATGTTAATCATTAACAGTGAGGTACTTGAACATAAAAAAGACTTACCTTTTAATATGCTAATAACATCGGATCGGTGTGCGACGTCAACCTGAAACAAAAATAGAAGTTTTAAATATTATTTTCATTAATAAAATAAATCGTAGCAGATAAAGAAATGTAACTTCGAAAAAGTGATCAGATAATAAATATATATGTGCAGTTTCTAGGTTTTAGTAACACTATCAAATTGTAATAGATACTTTAAGTCCGAAAGCATGGTAGTAAAAGTCTGAAAAGTAAAATGAAGAAAGCGAGCTTTAAACAAGGTAGACAAAATAAGTAAATATATATATATATATATATATATATATATATATATATATATATTAGGGTGGTCCTTAAAATGGTCATTGTCGATTTTCCTTGCTCCCAGGGGCTCAAATGGTTTCAAATTGATAAAAAACAATTCTCTGAAAGTTTTAGCTTTTAATATTAACGTTTAGATAGAGCGCAATTCAATCAAAGTTTGTATGGAAAGAGCATGGAAAAAATTTTGAAAATTTAAAAAAAATGTGTTAGGTATAACTTAGCGACAACTGAATGAGTTTTATTCATTCATTAGTTCTCTAAATTACATCTAAAAAACATTTTTACAATTTTTGAAAAATTTTTCATGCTATTTCCATACAAAACTTTGATTGAATTGCGCTCTATCTAAACGTTAATATTAAGAGCTAAAACTTTCAGAGAATTGTTTTTTATCAATTTGGAACCATTTGAGCCCCTGGGAGCAAGGAAATTCGAAAATGACCATTTTAAGGACCACCCTAATATATATATATATATATATATATTAGGGTGGTCCTTAAAATAGTCATTTTCGAATTTCCTTGCTCCCAGGGGCTCAAATGGTTCCAAATTGATAAAAAACAATTCTCTGAAAGTTTTAGCTCTTAATATTAACGTTTAGATAGAGCGCAATTCAATCAAAGTTTGTATGGAAAGAGCATGGAAAAATTTTTGAAAATTAAAAAAAAATGTTTTAAGTATAACTTAGCGATAAATGAATGAGTTTTATTCATTCATTTGTTTGCTAAATTACATTTAAAAAACACTTTTAAAATTTTTGAAAAAAATTTTATGCTATTTCCATACAAAACTTTGATTGAATTGCGCTCTATCTAAACGTTAATATTAAGAGCTAAAATTTTCAGAGAATTGTTTTTTATCTATTTGGAACCATTTGAGCCCCTGGGAGCAAGGAAATTCAAAAATGACCATTTTAAGGACCACCCTAATATATATATATATATATATATATATATATATATATATATATATATATATATGGTGTCTCAGACCTTGACGTCAACCCATGATAGTATTGACCATAACTGTCTAGAAAAAAAATAGAAAGTCTCACGTTGTTTGATAATTACAAGCTTTCAAGCGCAACCTAGAGCTTTAGTAAAATTTTCGGTAATTGTAGTTAATTATTACTAATTTAGTTCATTTAAGCTTTGTAACCATAATCGTAAATAACATTTCTAGAACCACAATCAAAAACAATAACATAATTGCAAAAAATACTAGCCAAAATCACGTGAAAATCAATTTTCAAGTATTTTACCATTTCGCAATTCTGATTAAAATGGCCAACTTTTGATGAAACGTGTCAACACACTTTAAAACATTTTTCTTAAAAGATAGCCTCTCAAAGTCGTTCGATTTTAAAAAAATTTAATTTATAGTTCAACAAAAAGTCCCAATTCTTAAAAACTCGGAGCAATTGTGTTATTGTTTTTGATAGTAGTCCCAGAAATATATATATATATATATATATATATATATATATATATATAAATGTGTGACGTGTGCGAGTAGGCGCGACATTGCAGTCACATTATCATTGATATTTAATTCATAATGAGCGGCAAGCCGCACATCCCGGCACGCTCTCTCTGTTCGATGTTGAATATTTGATGGTGCCATGAATGGAATGGAAGCATCATTCATTCCACCCACTTCACGCATTCGCCACTACAATATTACGAGATCCTTTTTGCCGCTGCGCAAACGGATCCGTTGCCTTTGTGGCTTTCAAGGAAATTCTTATTCTTGGAAAATGCGAAAAGAACGGCAAAATCTTTAAAGAACAGAGCAGTTTATTCTTTGTTGCTACTAGCAGCACTAACGCATTATAAAATATTCTATTTTACTTGAGAAAGATTTACGATATTATACAATATTAATTTTATAATGATCAAACAAATACACACACACACACATATATATATATATATATATATATATATATATATATTTTAAGTAAATATAATATATACACAAAACTTTATTCATTGGTAGCCTTTTTGATCATAAAATGTGAATAATTAGTCTGCTGGTTAAATAAAATACATTTGATATTAACTTTATTCAATCGTTAATGTGTTCGAGTGTGGGTATATATCATATATATTCCAAACATTTTCCCTTTATTTAATATTATTAAATAAGTGCAGTTAACTCCACATTCAAACATATAACATCATCCGGAAATCTTTAACATCGTATCATTTTATCCAAATGTACAACAATTTAAATTAAACATCATCTTTTAATGGTCTGATATAGCCACTAACTCTTACACCTGGACCTTTGGCATTATACACAAAAAGTGTATAATTTTAACAGAGTTTGGCAGCATCTTGTTGAATGATGAACTTTTTTCATAATTCACATTAAAAACTATTCAGGCCATAACAAGTACAATGTAACAGTTCACATGTTATATTAATTTAAATTTTGACTAAAATATCGCTATTAAAATAGGTCAAAATGTAAAAAGTTTAGTGTAATAGTAGTGGTGTAGCTATACAGGGTGGCAAAATGCCACAAGCCCCCGAATTAACAGAGCTCCAGCCCAAAGAACTGCTTAAAAATAATTAATTTTATTTTAATTTGCTACAATTTCTTTACATTTTTTTAAAAAGTAAAGATTCTGTAGAAGTTGATCTTAATCGAGATCGAATATTTTACTTCACCGCGATTAAACTCACAGTGATAATTTGTTTTAAAAGTATTCTTATTTAAGAGAGGAGGTTTATCTATGGTAGTAGTAAGACATACATAACGTGTAATTGAAGACTCTGAAAAATATCGCAGTTTGAGTTTATTAAAAATAAACCGAAAACAATGTGAAGTTTTCTACTAGTTACGCCACTGTGTAATAGTACACAAAATGTTAAGATAATTATTTATAATAAATAACGCAAAAAATTAAATTACATGGAATTTAATTAAATGAGATTCAAAAGCATAACTTCTTTCAAACTTAAAATAAAATGTCTTTTAAACTGATACATTCAGTAAAATAATAAATCCCACGAATTTTAAGAATATATTAAGTTTTTAATATAGTTATTTTACCAATTGCAATTTTATTAATTTTAGCAATTGCAAAGTATTACTGCTTTGGTACAAAAATGCCACTGTCATTAAAAAGTGGCTAGTGTGCCAGTATTTTTATTAACTCGAGCCATCTATTGAAACAAATTTTGACATATTAACAAAAATATAAAACATATATCCATATAAATAGTAGTAATAGTAACAAAAATATAAAACATATAAACCCATAAATAGTAGTACCTACTGTTAAAAGCTTGAATAAACAGTTTAATGACCTAAATATAAATTAGAATTTATGCACTACATTTTTTAATTTTTCTTTACACTTCTCGATTCCGTTGCAGCTTATAAAACTTCCAAATAATGCGTAAAGACAATATTTTTCCTATTCGATGTAAATATTTACTGTCAATATTTATCCAGCCCACGTGTCGTCCATAATGAGCCGAAAAGCGATAATAATTAAGCTTAATTTATAATGACTGAATTCGGTGAGCTTCGGAACAAGAGCATTAATATTTAGTTCGTTAATCTATTTTTGCAGTCAGCCCATCCGAATGCGTTGATTGACTGTTTTACTCCATTGAGAATCGCACACAGCGAACGATACACTTATTCGAATACAGGGATGAATTTCATCTCTTGTAAACATAATTGTCGGAATTTCGATTAAAAATATACAAGTCAGGAGATGAATTTCTATGATTACTCAAAAGCATAATTTTGGAAAAATCATACTTAAATGTAACCCACGTACTCATTTTACAAATTTTCGACTTTACACGATTTTAAAAATATATTTTTAAAGAAATTTATTAATTGTGCATTTACACCTAATTATAAAGACTAAACAATAACTCGCATATATCTAAATAACATTTTCACAGTTTTACTGTCAAAATACAATACTAGAAAATGTGTATTACAGTAGATAAGATAGGCATTCCCCATTTTATGATCAAAACTAAATTTTATGTGTGTATGAGCTAGTGTGCATAAGCATAGTTTGTTTAGAACCACGAAAATAAAATTTTAAGTCTTATTTATCGCAATCAAGTTAAATAAATTTCTGATTTTAATTTTTATTCATAAAGAAAATCCAATATTTAAGAATTTTATACCTGTTTTATTATTGAAATAAATTAATATTTACACAATTTATTAAATGTGTTTGATATTAAATATGTTAATATTTATTTTTCATTCAATGTGTTTGTTATTCACCATAATAAAAACTGCAGAAAAAGCTTTTTAATAGTGATTTTTTAGCACAGTAATAATTATTAAATTAATTTTTCAAAATAAATTGTTCATTTTAAATTCTATTCAACAGGTGTTTTTATGTAACCTCGTGGGGTAAAGGTAAAAATGACTAAGTGAACCTTTATCCTGGCAAAGGTGAAAACACTAAGGAATAGTAATTGAAAATGTATTTACAGTTTTAAAAAATAATTTTACAAAAAATAAATTATATTATCAGCTATTACAGCTCTGCTAATAAATATTTCTGATGAAATACCAGCTCAAGTTCATATAAAGTATTGTCTTTGTCAAAAATGTACCTATTAAATTTATTCTTTGCATTGGTTTAGAGTTGTTACTATTATTTTATGAAATTCCTTCAAAATTAAAAATAAGCCAATTAAAATGTTTGCCCTCTGAATGTCCCATTTTACCCCGCCTAGGGGATAAAAAGTG